GGGTTTTAGGTTGAGACCTGTCAGAACCTAAAACACTTGACATCAGCGTCTCTTCATCCTTCAATCATCTCCCGAGGCTGATATGGTACAGAAGATTTTGCTATGAGTAAGTTTCTTATTGTGCTTTTACTGGTTTGATTATTTGCTTATTTAATGTATAATAATATCAGCCAAAATAATACAAATGGTCATTTAAAGAACAAGGCATACAAATAGATTAACAGTAAATACATAAATATTTCCTACTTTAAAAGGTTTGTTAGGGCTTTCTGTAGGTTTTATTTTGAAATGTTGATATATTTTATGAATTAATTGTTCTGTGCTCATTTAATGTATTATTAATGCACCAGATAGTGCTGCATTTTTAGCTACTGTATATGATCATACTTTCCATCTTCCAGGGATCTGCAACCTAGATCTCTGGAGACAAAAGTGGCTCTTTGGCTCACAAATTATATCAAATGATGAAATATTGCTCTGTTTTTTGTGTGTTTTTTTTTCTCCCCCCATTCTTTTGGTGGAAAAACACCAACTATCCTGGCCTCTGTGGTAAATTTGGTCTTGAACCAGCCTCCAAGCCTAACTCTTTATTTCTATAAATATTTTAGTAATACTCTTTACAGTACCAGAATGTTCACATAAGTTTTATACGTTTGGCTGTCTGATGACACATTTTGAATATTAAATCAGGTGTTATGATCAGTTACTCAGAACTTGGGTAGTTTACCAAATACTTTTTACACCTTAATTAAATGTGATTTTAAGGTATGCTACTCTGATTGGAGTACAATTTTGGGGTACTCTAACCAACTATGCATGAATGATTGCTCTACAGATCACTTTTTAAAAACAAAAAACACCGCCATAAAATAATGTCTATCACTACAGTGGAAGTACCACCCCACGAGAGTAGGGCGACGCACCATGGGGAGCGTCCCTTATTTTAAATTCTGAAAGGTGGCAACCCTAACCCACAGTCACGGGTGGTTCTAGATGGGGGCCAACGGGGTACCAAAGAAGTTATACTAAATAAATGTCTTATGCTAATAC